AACACAAAAACAGTGTGTTGACCGGATGATTTTTGCATATGGTGATGGAGCCCCATCCAAAACCACAATTTATCGCTGGTTTGCTGAATTTCAACGTGGACGTGTCAAGCTCAGTGATGATCCCCGTCAAGGTCGTCCAAAAACTGCAGTCACCCAAGAAAACGTTGATGCTGTGCGTAAGCTGATTGAGGAAGATCGACATGTGACATACCGCGAAATTCAAGCAACTTTAGACATTAACATGAGTCAAATACAAATAATCTTGCATGAACAATTAGATGTAAAAAAGTTGTTTTCCCGATGGATACCGTATTCGCTCTGTAAAGAGAAAAAGCGGATCGCGTTACTTGGTGCGTCAGAACTCTAAAGATTCCACGCAGGATCCTCAAATGCTGTATACAACATCGTATCAGGTGACGAATCCTGGATACTGTATACAACATCGTATCAGGTGACGAATCCTGGATATAGTTTGGGTGTTAGAAAATGAGTTAAAGCCAACAAAAATAGTTCGTTCACGGAGTGTTGCAAAAAAAATGGTGGCCACGTTTGTCTCCAAAACCGGCCATGTTACGACTATTCCTCTTGAGGGACAAATAACGGTTGATGCAGAATGGTATGCTAGCATTTGTTTGCCACAGGTCGTTTCTGAACTCCGTAAAGAGAACTACAACCGCCCCATCATCCTCCATCACGACAATGCGAGTTCTCACACCGCACACAGAAGAAAAGAGTTTTTAGAGCAAGTAAACATAGAATTATTAGACCATCCGCCGTACAGGCCCGACCTAAGCCCTAATGATTTCTATACTTTCCCTAAAATAAAGAATAAATTGCGTGGACAGAGATTTTTATCACCTGAAGAAGCTGTGGACGCCTACAAAACGGCCATTTTGGAAACCCCAACTTCCGAATGGAATGGTTGCTTCAATGATTGGTATGGAAAAAAGGTCCATCGTATGGAAAAATGTGTCAAATTTCGCGGAGAATACTTCGAAAAGCAATAAATACATTTTTAAATAGTAATGTTGTGTCACTTCCTTGATTTCCGAAATTTTCAGTGCCGCCCTCGTAAACTAGATACCGAGAAAGCTGCAAAACTTGTCACATTTATTAAATATCTTAATAAGAAAAAGTAAGTGTTATTTTATCACATTGTCTGTCTCACAAAATTTAGATTTTTTGTTAATTTATAATAATTAGTCCTTTATTCATTGAAATTGTTATTATTTAACTTGATCATTTAACTTGTTAACTTTAATGTGTTTTAAAAATTGCTGTTATACTGTGTAACATAAATGGTTAATTAATGGTACCTACTTAGTTATAATTCACAATATTTGTTTGCTTTGTTTGCTTAAGATTATAAAAATTTCTTGTAATAAAATAATGTTTTAATTACATTTTCCAAATAAACTTTTCCTTATAATTCCTAATTTAAATGAAAAATACAACTTAAACTCAACTTGTAAATTTATTTCAAGTTATTTTGGGTCTTAATTATTTATTTGTTTTCATTTACTTCCATTCATTTGCAATTAAAAATTTTAAAAGTAGTTTTAAACCCTGTTTTTTTCTTAATGTAAAAACATATTGTTTAAAACTTGTATTAAACTGCGTTTTTAAACAATTAATAAAAGTATTATATTATTATAATTTAATAAAAGTTTAATTTAAAAAATGTATAAATGCGTGTTTTAAAACAACTTGTTTTATTCGTGTAACCCAGGAGTAGGAGCAAAACCAAACGACATAAATAAATGCAACACAGTAACAGCAGGTCTACTTACTGACCAGTCTCTTTGTTTATAGAACGATTTCTGATAACTAAGCAATGAACGATCCATTGTTTAGTGAAACAAATAGGTTTTACCTATGTGACTGTGAGCATTTATGTGTAACATGCGTCACGTTTTTAAAAATAGAACTTATGGAGGCAAGTTCAATGGAGTCAATAGTGCCTCTTACCGACTTACCGTACAGGTCTTAAAATGAATATGGACAAGACAAAGGTTATTCGTAACATCACATCACACCTACCTATGCATTTAGTTGGAAGCACTACGCTCGAAGTTGCTAACAAGTATGTTACCTAGGACAAATAGTCCGATTAGATAAAGTCAGTAACTTCGACCGAAAAGTCAAACGACGTATTCGACTCATCCGGATAGCGTTCTGGAGATTACGACACATGTCGTACTTAAAAACTTGAAAACAGGAATGTACAAACAATGCGTGTTACCAGTGATGACATATGATATACATATCTGAGACGTGGTCCTTCACTGTTGGTCATATGAGGAGGCTAAGGGTAGCTTATCAAACTATGCAGAGGTTTTGCTTGGAGTTACTCTGCGTGCTAGACTTCGTAATGAATATATGCGTAGTAGAACCAGATTTACGGACATAATCCAAGCAATCGGTAAGCTGAAGTGGCAATGGGCCGTCCATATAGCAAGCAGAACTGACAACCAAGAGGGAAGAAGGGTTCTCGAGAGCCTCATATCGGGTAAGGTAAATGTAACGTGGCCCTCCACTTGACGCAGTGAACACCTGGTAAGACATGCAGGAAGTCGATGGACGCAGGTGGCTCAGGACCGTGCTTTGTGGCATTCGTTGGAGGAGGCCTTCTAGCAGTGGACTTGTGATGTGTATATTACGTATTGTTTTAAGTCTTTAGGGGTTTTTGGTAAAAAAAAATACTCACACTTTAAGTACCATTACTATGTTACTGTTGTCACATTTATCAGTGAATATATCCAATTCAGGAATTGTTCAAGTATACACGTACTTGCTGATAAGTAATGTATAGATAGATATATTAGTGAGTCCCGAGTTGAGATGTATAACAACTATATTTAAATAAGTATAACAACTAACTAATAACGAAAATATCAAGAAGCATTAAAGATGTATTATCACTGCCGAGAGGGGTTATTTGCATTTTACAAAGACTTTTTTTTTATATAATTAGGTTGAGAAACGAGCACACAGCCCAACTGATAGTAAGTGCATACTGTGGATAGACATCTACATCTATCCTTAATTAAGAATCAAAATGAAGATACTTTGTCACGTAACAATGAATCTCGTTGTAACTTTCAAATATGCTGCGGGTCGAGTTATTAGGTTACCTAAATATTGATGGTATAACAAACTTGACAGCACATTTATTTACAATTTGATAATAATACGAGTAAGTTTCTCTTGAATATTATTAGTAGCCTGCGTAATTATATTGTTTTTTTTTATAGAATAAGGAATATGGGTGACAAATGAGTACACAGTCCACCTGATAGTGAGTGGATGTTGAGACACATATATTAATCCTCAATTAGGAACCCTGCAGATGTGTTGTCACCCCTGAGGACTAAGATGTAGTGGCTCGTTTCCAGTAAAAAGGACCTCCGGTTCGTTCACATTAAGAAACGAACGAAATACAGCAGCATTGAGCTGGTTTTTTACGTTGGTATTCTGTGAGAGCGTGGTTCTTCCCCAGTCGAGCCGACCCACGCAGCAAATAAAATTGTACTTTGTATTTGCTCCGTGAGCGAACACATTCGTGTTACAACCACAAGATAGCTGCAGCATGGTTCTTCCACGTTCTAGAAATGAATAAACATGTTATAAAATTTTTGTCCGTTTGTCTGTCTATCCTCCTGTCTGGCCTAATAAAGGATTATTAAAAACGATTTTGTACCAAGACTAAAAAGATAGTAGATTATGTTTAGTGTAATGACCTTGTAAGTATGTATGTATGTAATAGGTATGTCTATTTTTTGGCACGCTCTGTATCCTAAACGGCTAGATGGATTTTAACATATGGGGTCATTCGTCTTAGTTGTGGAAGTGACATAGGGTACCTATAAATTGTTCTCTTTTCAGTAAGCTTGTTGTTGAAAATTGTTAAGAAGCTAATTTTTTATACCTATATTACATTTTATTAAATTTTATTTATGACTACCTCATTGGTATAGTGTTTGTAGTAGTGCGACTGCTGATCATGAGGTATCGGGTTAGAATCCCAGGTCGGGCAAAAAAAAATCAGTTATTGAGCTTTTCCAACAAGAAGTTCTCAGTAGCTGCCCGGAGTAAGGAAGTTGGCGGTGTCTCATACCCGTGCCTCGGAAAGCCGTTAGTCCTGCGACTGATCTCTCTCCGGTCGTGTCGGTTTACCGTCCCATCGGACTACGAGAGTGCACCTGTGCTTGCGTATACACTTGGACACTATAATCCTGTCCTGCACAGATGGCTAGTCTCCGTTGAGTCTGGCCGCCGTAACCGAAATTCGGTCTGGAGAACATTATTATTACATTTTATGTACAGTAAAATTGTAAATAAAATGTGTTTGGATCAAATTTAGTCGACATCACTCCACGAATTCTCCCTATCTGTTCATGAAGTTTCATTACAACCAAATCAGTCATTCCGAATTAACCCAGACAGACAAAATTAAAAAAAAATGGTTACTTTGTCTTAATGGCATGCAAATAAATCTCAAAGCTTAATATAAGGCAGTTACCATCAGTTCGTGAATTTTCATCACACACACAAGCACGATTACACGACGGACAGACAGACAAAAAATTATTTCACAATAGCGTGTTTATCAACTCCTGAGCTGAATAGAAGCCAGTTATATTGATATTACAAAAATACATTTATTTTTCTTATGTGCACAGTTGTATATTTTATACGTGGTAGAGCTGCGCTGCAGTTCCATTACGGTTGTAGCACAAATGGGTAAACAGCGTAAAATAGCAGCTGAAGGCTGCTGTGTTTCTTATGGTGAGTGTAGAGAACTGGATATCATTTTTACTGGAAAGGAGGCAATCCATCTTAGTTCTCAGGGGTGATAACACATCTGCATTTTGATTCTTAATCAAGGATATATGCAAATGTCTATGGGCCACAGCATCCCCTTACCATCAAGTGGACTATGTGCTCGTTTGTCACCCTTATTTTATTACAAAAAAAAGTTAAATCATATAAAACTTTACCTGTTGTTTCACTAATGGTACCGTGTTCACAAGAAAAAAAGTTCTCTTCGCACCTTCGCCCCATACTCCATTTAGAGTCTTTCTAAATCTGGTAATTAGGCCTATTGCAATAAAGGTCTTTCCTGAACCTAAAAGAGAGAAGACAATAATGATTTCTTATATTTATGCGAACACTACACATTGAATAAAACTATTTTTTACGAATTTTATCGCGTTTAATTTACTATTTTAATTCCCGACATTTCGGGTGCTTTACAGCAAGCTCAGTGCTCAGTCCCCTCCGTGACCTGCACGGAGGGGACTGAGATGTTTGACGTCCCGATGTCACAGTTAGCCCCCCCCCCCCCCCCCCCCGTGACCATGGCTTGCTGTAAAGCACCCGAAACGTCGCGAATTAAAATAGTAAATTAAACGCGATAAAATCCGTAAAAAATAGTTTTATTCAAAAAGGGAAGACAATTTTATGAAGCGACAACTTGACATTTTATACAAAAACACGTGACTTACCAGTTGGTAGATATATTATGGTATTTTTTTTTATTGCAATTTCCTCAAGTTGCATTTGATATGGTCTTGCTTTCAGAATATTTCCTTCAATTGCTTCGTCCTCCATTTTAATTTTGAAACCTAAATCGTAAAAATTACCATTACTACAATTTTACGTGGTAGAGCACTGCTGCAGCTATTATTACTGGTATAATTGTAGCACGAATAGGACGGCTCGACCAGGGAAGAATCACGCTCTCTCAAAACACCAGCGTGAAATATCAGCTTCAATCTGCTGTTTCGTATGGTGAGTGTAGAGAACCGGAGACCCTTTTTACTGGAAACGAGGCATTCCATCTTAGTCCTCACGGGTGAAAACGCATCGGTATTTTGATTCATAATCAAGGATAGATGTAGATGCTTATGGGCCACATCAACCACTTACCATCAGGTGGACAATGTGCTCGTTTGTTATCCTTATCCTATTAAAAACTTACTATTACAGTCTTTAAAAAGTCTACTGCTGAACATTAGGTACCTCATGTAATCCATTTATAAGTAATCCCTATTTGCCATAGTTGCCACAGTTGGCAAGCGGGTTAGAAACCACAGTTTTTTTTTTAATTTTCATTCAGCTGTAATCAGGTAGATGCTGCTATCCATATCCTGCTTCACTTCAAGCACGTAAAATGACAAAAGTTACGTTTTCTTGAGCAATTTTGATCACGATAACAAATTATGAAATCTATATGGAAGTAGCAACTGCACAGAGTTGATTATCGTGCTACACGTGGGTATTATTGGCACTTAATCAAAATGTATCTGCATGATGCAAAGATATGGGGATAATAAGAGCACATTGAAACTTAAAAACCATGCACTTGTGTCTTTTCATAACTGGTTCCAAATGAGTTAAAACTCAGGGCCTGGCCACAGTTAATATATTTCCTGAGCTTGTGATTTAAATCTAGCCAATCTAGTAAGTCTTGCACGGACGCAAAATAGCCATCCTCTCGATGTTCAATAGGATACACTTGCGAGGGAATTTCAATTCCCCTGGTGTTACAATTGTTCATAGACGGCGGTAGTCACTTACCATCAGGTGAGCCACATGCTCGTTTCCCTCCTCTTCTATATAAAAAAAACTTAATTTATTTCCTCTACACTCCACCATAGGACAACCAGAAGCATACGAATACAAGAAAGGTATATGTTTTATTACAAGTTGCACTACACCCTGCAATACATGTAGCTTCAAAGAATAAATTATCAAGATTGTATGGTTTGAACAATGAGCAAAATTTTATACTGAATGAAGATGAATTACATGGCGCTGATTTGTTTTTCACATCATTTGGATATACATACTTAATCATGTGCATAACATAAATATAATAAGGCCAAAATAATATTAAGAAGTCAGCTAAAAAAATGGTGAAGAGGTAGTGCAACGACGAAAAAGGTTTAACGAACAAATTGTACATAAGTCTTGAAAGCAATTAAAAATATATGAGCAAAAACTTGCTTCAGAAACATATCAGGTGCCAAAATCTAAACTGCATTTCAAATCGAAGTTCCTTGAAAAGAAATTTCGTCCAGGTCCACCGCATTCTGACCAAGACCTGACAGTAAGTTCATTCTGCGTAGATTGGACCAAAATTAATAATTAAAAAAGCTGAAGGTACTCCGAGTTAATTCTGACATCGGGATGTCAATCACCTCAGTCCCCCGTGACCATGGGTGCTGTAAAGCACCCGAAACATCGGGAATTAATAAAAATAAGTAAATTAAAAGCGATAAAATCCGTAAAAGTAGTTTTATTCAATGTGTAGTGTTCATGTAAATATAAGAAATCATTATGGTTTTATTTAGTCAGATAATTGATAAAATGAAAATATTTATTTACTTTATAATTTATTTTTCTCATTATTAAAGTAGTCATCATTGATATATTATCAACTTCCATATTATACAAATTAAAAAGAACTATCAGATAAATGTATATATGCACTTGAATTATCATAATTAAAGTGGAAGATAATGGTGCAGAAAGACCATTTTATCTTCATTTTCAGGCTGTAGTTTACTTCTTTTCTTCTCGTATTCAAGCCCAGCTTCAGAGAAGAGATGCTCTGAAGAATAAACAGTACTTCCATTCTGGCCGAATACTTTTGCCAAATATTCAGTCAGGACGTACACAGAATATTCGTGCGTGCGTTTTTTATGTAGTAGAGCTATATTACTGGTATAGTTGTAGCACAATGGGACAGCTTGACCAAGGAAGAGCCACGCTCTCACAGATTACCAGCGTAAAATAGCAGCTAACGCTGCTGTGTTTTGTATGGTGAGTGTAGAGAACCTGAGACTCCTTTTTACTGGAAACGAGGCATTCCATCTTAGTCCTCACTGGTGACAACGCATCTGCATTTTGATTCGTAATCGAGGATAGATGTAGATGTCTATGGGCCACCGCAACCACTTACCATCAGGTGGACTATGTGCTCATTTGTCACCCTTACCCTATAAAAAGAAATTCAGTATTCAGTGTGTGGCCAAATATACTATTTGTTGCTAGTCGAATATTAACACATTTTAAACATTCAACACACCCACACAAATGCTTTTTAAGTTTAAGATAAGTGTTAATAGATTGATATAATAATATTAATTACCTATGAATAAATAATTAATGAACTAAAATTGGCCACAAAAAAAACATAAGTACTTAAGTATATTCTTTGAAACTGCTTCATTAAAAATGTAAGTAATCTACTATATATAAAAATTTAGCTGACGTCCATTGTATTGAGTGTCTAACATTACTTTTCTCAAAAATGTTAACTTTTATGGTGGTACTTATAAAGAAAAAGTTGAATACCAATGTTAACTTTGGTATAAAACTAATTTTCTATGTCATTATTATTATTGTTTTGTTAGTTAAATATAAGCTAAATTTAGTGATATTATATTTATTTGTGTCAGAGGAAGGAGTTGCCGTCTGTAATACAGGCTTAGCCTAGTACAGCCGGCAATAACAAACTGAAGTAAGCAAATTATAATTTGTACTTAACTTCTTTTGAACTTATTGACGAAGTTTATTGAAAAAAAATGTAATGAATCCTAATTATGTTTTTAATTATTTATTTATTGATCAAAAACAATCTTAGAAGAACTTAGATTTGAGATTTTATTAAAAAAAAAGAAATTAATTGTTTGTTCATATTGAAACTAAGAAAATGCAGTCAATGTTTACAAAATATATATATTATAATGTGCAAGTTCGGTAAATGCCTCTGGATAATATTGCACCGCTTCCATTATATTACCAATCGCATTGACTACAAAGGAATACACAGACATAGTAATATACAATCCAGTAAACCTATTTGCTAACTTTGTTGACATCAAAATGATAGCCACTTTGTAGTAAATTATGACGTAAGTTATATAGCTTTTCTAAAAGAGCTACCACGGCACATAAAATATAACAAACTAATATAATACAAAGTGACTATCATTTTGATGTTAAGATGTCAGGTAATAGGCCTGCAGATACAGACCACAGACAGTCTGCATGGTATTCACCTGTGTGTGTGGTTTGTCCCTATACCATATAACTCTCATTTAGGTTTAAACATCCTGTATTAAAACTTAAATTTCAAAAATTCCTACACCCAGTTATCTTACCATACTCTTACCATACTGCCTATGTGTGGAGTTAGCTTTAACCATTTACATTAAAAACTGCTATGAGATATTTAATTTTTTTTAAGTTTTTAATTACATTAGAAACAGAAACTTTATCTTTCTTAAAACTGTTATTAGATATTTATGGATGATAATAACCCCTGGGAATAAGGTAATTGTGACCAGACTATTTCTAATTTGTTTTGTATTGTTAATTGTATAATATACATGATGGAAAGCTGTTTTTGTTTTAAATCCCGCTGGGTTACTTGCTGGTTCTTCCCAGTACAGAGGTTTTTTTTCGAACGAGTGGTAATTTAAACATAAGAGTGACTTTCAATAAGTGTTATTTATAATTTTCATTGCATAAAAAGTTTCCGTTTCTGTTAAAATTTTTGTAGTGACAAAGTATGTGTTTCTTAAAATATGGGTTACTATATAATATTCATATTATATAACTTATTTTCATTTCATGATGTTGTTTAAAAGAAATAACAAATTTCAATAATTTAAAGTTTGTAAACAGAGAAGTTATTATAACAAGGAAGTGTTTTATATGTTTTATCTATTATAACCAACACAGCACACTCCAATAAAAGAAATTTTATTGGTGAATTTTTAGCATCATGGATTAAAAGAACTGTATTTAGGGATAAATAATTTTTTTTTTGCAAAAAACACTACCTACATCCTTTTCTCATTTGTAAATGTATTGCTAAGTTTGTTTATAATCCGTACTGTAGTTTGTGACGATAACTGTCTTTATCTTTCTTAATATATGATAGATACATTTTAATCATTTATAATAAATATTGTAAGCTTAAATTTCAAAAGTTCGGTTTTAAGAATACAGTACTACAGTTTGAAAATACAATACTAATCTTCACTACATTGAACTGTTCAGTTATACCTGGAATAACGACAGGAACACCGCACAAGCACCACTTCGATTAATATTGAAATTTCAGAAAGCTCTTCAATAACCTAAGCCGGCAAAATTAATTTACTTGTGTATTTAAAATAAATAACTTCACGTCAAACAATTTGTAAATAAATAAAAAATAAACATTCCTACTTACCACAAAACTGAACAACAATTTATTTACGCTGATATTAGTTTTCTTTATAAAATATTGTACCCACAAACTAATTGTGTGAGATGAGAACTGTTGTTCTTGTTATTATCCAAAGTAGCTATTTCTTTCTGTATAATGTATATATCGAAGACGAAGAGGGGAGCGGACGAGCGGATCAGCGGACTGATTCCCTTTCCCTGGTATATAGTGTATTATCTATGGGACTGATACCTGAACCTGACAGCCTGACAGAATGACTATAATAAGTGATACAAGATTATAATTTAAACTTCCTCAATTCCCCATATTCAATTTTTTTACTTTGATTATTATATATATACATAATAGCCTGGCTACCTCTCTG